TTAAGAAAAAAAAAAAAGAAATCCCTTCTGATGCACTAGCTAAGCAGTATTAAGAGGGAGATTCAGATTAGCCTGGGTGGATGGAGCCTGCAACAAAAGCCACATGCCTCTGATGGAGAGCTTTTCTATGCAAGGTATGAAAGGGAGCTGGATAGTTGATGCTACTCTTTTACCACAGCAGATGTCACACTGTATTGAGCAAAGGTTTCTTCCAGATGAGGGCTTTATTATTCTGCAACTCCCTTGGAATGAATCTGACCTGATAATCACAGTGAGTCAGAGAGTTAATGTGTGAAGGAAGTATCCTTGCAAGCCCCAGTCAAACCAAAGCTATTACGAGCTCTAAAGCTAGAGAAGAGATACGATTTTTCAGTTCCTTCCTGATATTAGTCACCTTCTCGTTCTGATTTTGATACAATAAAGCATATGTGTAGACACCACACACACACACACACACAAAAAAAAGCCTTAAAAAAAGTCCCTTGCTCTATATTTATTTCTGCATCTTTAATTTGTTTTTTTCCCACCCTTCTTTCCCACCAAGGCCAGTTTGGGGGCATTCTTCTCTCGTGTAACGGGAGTCACTCCTCTTAGCATCTTCTCACCTGTAATAATTTTTTGCTATTTCTTCCTTGTTTTCTACATTTAAAATATGCACATCAAGGGCTGGAGGGATGGCTCAGAGGTTAAAGAGTACTTCCTGTTCTTTCAGAGGTCCTGAGTTCAATTCCCAGCAACCACATGGTGGCTCACAACCATCTATAATGAGATCCGGTGCCCTCTTCTGGCATGCAGGCATGCATGCAGATAGAACACTGTATACATAATTAATAAATAAATATTTTAAAAAAATACGCACACCGAGGAGCACTTTGACTGAGGGATTCTGAGAGTCTGCATCAGAACTGCCACTGGAGACTGATAGACCCCAAAAATCTAGGGTCTCAAGTGGGCGCCCCAAGAACCCAGACTCCAGTCCAGTTGATGCAACAGCAAGAGGTGTTTATTAATGCAGCTGTATAGTCGGGCAAACTCAGCTCCAGAGAGCAAGAGTCGCGTCGCACTGTAGTCACATAGGTACTTTTAAAGGAAAAACCCACAAAAGCCATAAGATTACGATTCCCATACAATTTCGTTTCACAAGATCATGGTCTGATCACAGAGTGGGTACAGTCACGTCCACATGTACATTCTTCCTGAAACCTCAAGGGGGTATCAGGATAGGAGTGGAGTTTACACAAAGGTCACAGTGGTCCTTCCTGGAACACTTGCAACTATCCCAGTCACAGTTGAGCACATCTCTTAACAGAAATCTTTTTACATTGTTACATTGTTACAGGGGTGGTTGAGTAATGGCTGAGTCAGCTTGCCCTTGGAAGCAGATTTTTAGTTCCAAGAGGACATTTAGTTCCATGAGAACATTTCCTGGGGCGTGGGGGTGTAAGCCTGAAGGGTTAGGGTCTTTCAGGGACAAAAATTTGAAGGATGTGCTCCCCACCCCCCAGCTGGGGACCGAACCCAGGGCCTTGGGTGCTGTACCACTGAGCTAAATCCCCAACCCCTGGAGGATGTGCTTTTTAAGACACACCCTTCACTTTGAAGATGAAGAGGTAAACTGCAGGGTACTCCCCAGGCTTGAACAGTTTAAAGCAGAGGACTTTCATACAAGGTCTGCAGCCTGCCAAGAGTGAGTCCTGGACCACAGACTCTTATCCTCCTAGTTTCTACACGTGTGACCTGCTTTCTACAGTTTCCCCCTGCACATGCACACATGGGTTCATTGAGTTATGCCACGCATGCGCATAGACTGCGTGATCATGTTGCATGCAAATTATGCAATCACGCAGTGCCGGGATAACGTTGGAGGTAGGGCCCTGGGATGTCTAATCGTTTTTCTAGTGCATGCTCATTCATTTAGCTAGGGGAGTGGCCAGTGGCCACGGATTCCAACAGAAGCTGTGCTTTGAAAAGAAGAAAGAAAAGTAAAGAAGACCTCTTAAAGTCAATTTCTGATAGACCCCCGATTTCAATCAGGTATTTGTTCTCGTTTATATATAAGATAAATAGATAATAGAATTTTCTTTTCTTTTTTTTTTTAACATTTATTTATTTATTTATTTATTTATTTATTTATTTATTTATTTATTTATTTATTATGTACACAGAAGAGGGCGCCAGATCTCATTACAGATGGTTGTGAGCCACCATGTGGGTGCTGGAAATTGAACTCAGGACCTCTGGAAGAGCAGTCGGTGCTTTTAACCTCTGAGCTATCTCTCCAGCCCTGATAATAGAATTTTTAAAAAACTTCATCTAATTTGTCTCTTCATCTGGATCAACTTAATTCTCCGTAACCATGAAATTCTGGTCAGTCTCTCGGCCTTGTAGAATGGACAACAAGGTCTGATTTTGTAGGTCACTTTCTTGCCCCTGTCTCACAAACACTCACCCTTGCCTTTCCCAGATGTTCAGAATTGTTTGAGGAACAGACTTCTCTAGCTAATTTAATTTTTTTAAATGCTCAATTTTATTTTATTTATTTTATTTTATTTTTTTTAAAAACTGAGATAATGTCCTGGTGTATGTCTGTGTACCACATGCATAGGTCCTTTCGTGCCTATGGATGCCAAGAGCAGATTTTGAATCCATTGGAATAGAAGTTAGAGACAGTTGTGAGCCACCACATGGGTTTCGCTTTCTTTGTAATAGTAGCAAATTCTCTTAATCATTGAGCAAGCCCTTTAATTTTAATTCTTAATATTATTGTGCGTGTGTTGGGGGGGCATGCCATGGTGTATTCGTGGAGGTCTGTGGACAACTTTGTGGAATATTCTCCTTCCTCGGGGCTTTGTTGCAAGACCCACAAGCAAGACCACCCCAGAACCAATATCCGATGCAAAGCACAAAGGGGTTTATTGATAACAAGCAAGCTTGGGCTTGGTCCGTGTCCAACATCCCACACAGCAGGTGGAGGAGGACGACCCAAGCACTCACTTGAAGGGGTTTATTTTTATTTTTTTTCCTCCAGAGCTGTGGACCGAACCCAGGGCCTTGCACTTGCTAGGCAACTGCTCTACCACTGAGCTAAATCCCCAACCCCTTGAAGGGGTTTATATAGGAAAGGTTTACATGCAGCTTGAGATTGGATGAGGGGGTTAGGGGTGAGGTAGTTCTTTGAAGTTACTGGCTGAACTATAAGCATGAGGTTACTGATGGCTAACAGGATGCAGGGTATCTACAGAGACATAAGTTTTTACTCCTTATGTCCTGCTTTTGCTGAACCCAGGATACATACATTCAGATTTATTGTCCCAGTCCTACTCTCCTCTGTGGTCAGTGGAGCCCATTACTCCCCATATCCTGTTTTGCCAAGTCCAGGATGCATGGATTTATTGTCCCAGCCTTCTAAGTTCAACTTCTGGTCACTTCTGAAACTGCTGGTCAGCAAATACCTTTGGAGGAGTCTCTCAAGATGGCTACTGATTTTTCCCTCTCAGTATGAGTTCCGGAAATTTGATTTGGGCTTGTCCTGAAAATACCTCTACTCACTGAACCACCTTCCCAACACTGTATTCCCTCTCCTTTCCTCTTTTACACTTAAAAATATGTGGGTGTGTTGCCGGGCGGTGGTGGCGTACGCCTTTAATCCCAGCACTCGGGAGGCAGAGGCAGGCAGATCTCTGTGAGTTCAAGGCCAGCCTGGGCTACCAAGTGAGTCCCAGGAAAGGCGCAAAGCTACACAGAGAAACCCTGTCTCGAAAAAAAAAAAAAAAAAAAAAAAAAAAAGTGGGTGTGTGCACGAATATATGTGCCCCAGTTTTCTCTGTGCTGTGGGTTCTGGACGCTGAACTCATGAGGCTTGACAACAAATGCCTTCACATCCTGAGCCACCTCCCTGGGTCTTCTGTAGGTCAGGCTACCACTCGGCCACAGAGCAGAGAACCTCCGGGTTGTCTGCCTCTCACTCAAAGGCAAGGATTATGAGAGGATGCCACCATGCCAGCTCTTCCTGCATGTCTTTCGACAAGATAATCCCATTGTGTTGTGATCAGAACTTTGTGTGTGTGTGTTTGTTGTATGTTGTGTGTGTGTGTGTGTGGGGGGGCTTACTTGGATTGGATTCAGGCCCTCACAAATGCTAGAAAGGAAATTACATCTTCTTATATAAATAATATACAAAATTATATGTTAGCTTTGGCTTGAATGCCTCATCCTCCTGCCTGCAAGTGCTAGGATTAATGGTGTGTGCCACCACACCCTACACACCCTGTCTACAGCGATTTTTTGTTTTGTTTTTCGAGACAGGGTTTCTCTGTGTAGCTTTGGTGCCTGTCCTGGAACTCGCTTTGGAGACCAGGCTGGCCTTGAACTCACAGAGATCCGCCTGCCTCTGCCTCCCGGGTGCTGGGATTAAAGGCGTGCGATGCGCTGCTTCTGCTGCTGCCGCCGCTGCTGCCGCTGCCGCCGCCGCTGCCGCTGCCGCCGCCACCACCACCCGGCCTACAATGATTCTTTTTTTTTTTCTTCTTCCAGTTTGTGGGCTCATACTTTATTGCACTTAAAATTTTGTACATCTGTTCCTGGATGATGCGTGTTCATTCATCTTTTAAACCCTCAAAGCTCACACAGGCCCTGGCACATGGTAGGCACTTGATAAATACCTGATCTTCAGAGCATGACCATTCATGCATCCACGATCCTTCTACTGTACAGTAGGCTGACATTCAGTTTAAATCCCCTATGCCTGTTCTGAAGAACACAAAATCCCGCAGTCAGCTTTGTAAAAAGTGAAAAACAGCTCTTGTTCAATTTCCAAATAAAGAGGAGTGTGTCAAGCGGTTCCGTCAGAAACAAAATACTGACAGCTATTTTTTTTTTTTTTTTTTGCCTGCACACTGTTTCCTCACTGTCTTTAGCAAAGGATTCATCAGGCAAGAACGCTGGTTTGGGATGCTAGACGGGCACTTCCTTCAGTATTTGTCACATATAAAAGCTGTGTGTCACGACCGAAGGTCTTCTACTGCCTTGTCCTCTATCATCATGCCTTTTGCTATTTCATCCTCTGACAGCAGTAACTTGGTTTCTGAGTCTTGGTGACTGTCGGTCTGACTGACAGGTAGGGCGGAGGCAGGACTGGTCCAGCCGGTCCCTCCCAGGGGCTGAGCGGGATGGTGAGTGTCTGTGGCCCAGAGCCCCGCTGTCCACTGGAGAGAAACACACTGGGCCAGGAGTCTTGTTGAAGCGGGAACTCACTTTATGGCATAAGGAGTGAGCTTATATAGGTTGGGGTGACAGGGGGATGGGGTGAGGATAGCAGAGATAATGCCGTCTCAGCAGTTACTAGGCAAAGGTCACTCTAGGTTGGGTAGTGCGGAGTCACTCGTATGCGGAAGTCATGTCCCAGGACAGGTCCAACCTCAAGCTAGGCTCAGGAAGTTTCCCCGGGCCTCATGCTGGGGGCCTTATGGGCCCCAACAGGTGACAATAACCACAAAGGACTCTATTGACTCAAATATATTGGACACCACCGCTTGATGCTTATTAACTTCCAAAGCATTCCGAGCACGATTAATTATGATGGTGAGGTCAGTTCCCAGCTTAAGGGAATCTATAAATGCTTTGGGAACCCAATCTTTAGCCAGAGGAGAAAGAATTCTTATCTCCACTACAGCATTTATCATTCTGATTTGTGATTCCGGCTTGTATACAGGACCTCATAGATTGTGAGGTCCTTGACGGAAGGCAGTATCTTACTCATCTCTGTATTCCCAGTGCCTAGCTCATACAGAATGCAGAAAGGCCATCTCCAGATCAAGAGGAAAGCAAGCCAAGACTGGTTATAGGGGGTCAGATCTCTGGAAGAGAGCCCATCGTCTGCAGTGGGCCACCAGATGAGTGGATCTTGTGTTCAGGCACTTCGGAGACAGGAATATAGAAAGCTGATGTTAGTTAATTGGCCGCGTTGTGCTCTTACCCTTCAAGGAAATGTCACAAAACACGACAGAATCCGCTAACAAGAGTTTTATTAAAGATAAAGGGACAGAGAGTGTGCAGGCCTGTAGGAAACACATGTGTGGAGAAGAAGCAGGAACCGGGAACATGGTGCCGGATTTTAAAGGCTGGGTGTGCATAGGTCAACGTCACTACTCCACGCGTGCGTGTAGATCACATGGCCACGTTGCATGCCTACGTAGCCATGCCACATCAAGGATCCATCCTGGTCACGAGTGACGCCCTGACCAGGAAATGGCTATCTTGACCTGGAACTGGCTAGGTGGAAGTGTCCAGGTCCCCGGGCATCCTGGTCGCGAGAGATGCCCTGACCCTGAAATGGCGATCCTGACCTGGAACTGGCTAGGTGGAAGTATCCTCCAGGCATATGCAAACACGCCCGACCTTGCTGGGGGTGGGGGTGGGGTGGGGTACTAGCCTTGTGTAGCTACTGGGAAAGAAAGTCCTATGCTTTTACCTTAGCCTTGGTGGTATGGGAGGTCTCCATACTCCGTCCGCCTGGTAAATGCGACCTTGTGGGGGGGGTGCGTGTTGTGAACCCTTCAGCTGATACTGCTGAAGCCAGGTACAACATTGCAGAAGAGTCTAGTGGGTTGAGAGCCAGATCTGCAGCCTGCGGTAGTCTGTCAAAATGGCAAACTCTGCTGCCAGGAAGGTGCGGGCAGCAGCTGCCTCTTGCTAGCTCCGCAACGCTTCAGCAAAGCCTGGAAGTGCATTCTCTTTGGCCTCCGGACTCAGTTTCCCCGACTGGGCTGGGCCAGAAGGCCGAAGGGTCGACAGCCAGGTCTGGGGCGGGAAGTGGTGGGCATAGGGGAAGGCCGAGCGTGCTTGGTACAAGAGCCAGGAAGACCATGGCCAACGCTGTCCCGCTTTGCCCACTGCCGAAGTTGTCTAGAAAGCGGACAGCTTGCACTTCCAAAAGGACCTTGGTGCCTCCTGATTCATGCCAGCACCAACCGCCGGCCCCGCGTGCCCAGCCTGTCAGCAAAGCAAGCCACAGAACCTGAACGGAAGTTCAAGGATTGCTTACTCTGTGGAGACTTTTTTTTAAAGACAGGGTTTCTCTGTGTAGTTAGTTTTGGTGCCTGTCCTGGATCTTGCTCTGTAGACCAGGCTGGCCTTGAACTGAGCAATCTGCCTGGCTCTGCCTCTGAGTGCTGGGATTAAAGGCGTGCGCCACCACTGGCCCCAACAGGGATTCCTGAAAGAGCTAGGTATGGTATACATATCTCTCGTCTCTGCATTTGGGAGACCGTTCAAGGTCAGCCTGGGTTACTCAGTGAATTTGAACCCATATAGGGCTAACTGAATGCAAGTCTCAAAAGGGAACAGAAATGAATATTTAGCCAAGGTAATAGGCAAAATAGAGGTCTATTTGGGATAGGACATTTTTTTGTTTTGTTTTTGTTTTTGTTTTTTCCAGACAGGGTTTCTCTGTGTAGTCTTGGTGCTTGTCCTGGATCTCCCTCTGTAGACCAGGCTGGCCTTGAGCTCGGAGAGATCCGGCTGGCTCTGCCTCCTGAGTGCTGGAATTAAAGGCGTGTGCTACCACAACCCAGGAACATTCTTTTTAAATTACCTATTACTAACTACCTAAGGACCTTGGATATCCATCAGCTTAATCTAGCAGTGTTAAGGGTTTTAAAGGGCTCCTCTGAACTAAATGCCTTCATTTACATGATTGAAGGGCTGTTATCCACATCAGTGGCTCCTCTAAAAAGTAAACCTTATCGGGGTTGGGGATTTAATTCAGTGGTAGAGGCTTGCCTAGCAAGTGCAAGGCCCTGGGTTCGATCCTCAGCACACAAAAAAGGTAAACCTTATCTAAGCAGGTAGTGGAGGCTATCACCTTTAATCCCAGCACTGAGGAAGCTGAGACCACTCCTTTAATCCTAGCGTACCTGCCTCTCAGGATTTGCAAGTTGTTCTCTGACCGCCACAGATAGGCCATTTCAGGCATGCTGTTTTAAGTGCTTGGGCACATGCACATGCTCGAAAGTCTCTCTCTGTCTCTCTCTCTCTCTCACACACTCATACACACACACACACATACACACAGAAGATGCTAAAGAGAATTGCTAAATGAACTAGAAATTTCAGCTCACCCATAGGATGACTTTGGTTCATAATAACTTTTGGTTTTGCCCAATCACTGGGCAAGCTTTAGTGAAACATTTCACTATTAAGAGTTTGGAGCATATCAAGTTGATGAAAGAAAATGCTGACTGTACTTCCAAGAGGGGAGGCTAAAATCTGGGTTAGCCTATAGAAAAATGTCTGCCGTAAATCAAACAGCGAAGGCAAGATGAATAGGAATCTCACTTACACACCTTGAGTAAAACATCTCTGAACTGACGAAGATAGGTTTCTTCTGTATCCCAGAATCTAATTACTATTTATATGTATAATTCAGCTATTATTTGGCTTAAAAGGGAAATGTTATCATTTTTACTATTTTCCACAGAGAAAATAATTTCCAGTTTCTAATAACCCTGGACTTTTGAATTATACCTGTTTTTATGTTTAAAAAAAGAAGTCTGCTGGGCTGTGGTGGCACAGGCCTTTAATCCCAGCACTTGGGGGGCAGAGGCAGGTAGATCTTTGTGAATTCAAGGCCAGCCTGGTCTACAGAGCGAGATCCAGGAAAAGCACAAAGTTACACAGAGAAATCCTGTCAAGAAACAAAACAAAACAAAAAAGTCTGTATGATATACTGGTTTTGTGTGTTTTCTACCTACCTCCTATAATAAGAGAAGCATTTTTTACAGTTTATTTTGTTCAGTGATAGGATACTCAAATATGTAGAACAGTGCTTTGTACAGGGTTGGTACTTGTATTTGTTCAATAAATAAATTAAGACACTTTAAAAAAATAATAAAACAAAGAAGCTGGGGAAAAAAAAAGAAATTCCAGCTCATTTCTATGTGTACAGCCAAAAGAATTGAAAGCTGGGAAGGCTAGGTCTCCCAGCATTTAGAAGATCAGGATGTCAGGGTCATCTTGGATTCCATAGGGAACTCTAAGCCAGCCTGAGCTACATGAGACTCCTCAAACCTCTTGCCAAAAAGTACCCCCATAAGGAAAACAGACAAACAAACCAACCAAGCCCAGAAAAGCCAGGTGTGGTAACATAGGTATAAGCCTCCATTCTGATACAGAGGAAGTTGTGGTTGGTCTAGAACATACACATACACAAAGATCCTTCTGGTAAAGGCTTAGCAGGTAAAAATATCTCCAAAGTCTAATAATCTGATTTCGACCCCCAGGACTCCCACAAGTTGTTATCAGATTTCCATATGAGCTCACACCATGTACGCACTCTCTACCACCAGCACATATACACACAATAAGTAAATAATTATAATATTTTTTTTTCTGAACCAGGCTTGGTAGTGGCAAACCTTTAAGCCCGGCACTTGGGAAGTAGTGGCAGGCATTTATCTGTCAGTGAGAGGCCAACCTTGGTCTACATAGCAAGTTTCAGGCCAGCTAGGGTTACACATTGAGACCATGTCTCAAAAAGAAAAAAAAATCAGAGCTGGGCATGGTGGTTCTGCTGTGTGGTATCTACTAAAGAAGTCTGCTTGGACATGGGTTTAAGCACATGGAAAGTGTTTATTAGATGTGTGACGACTACACCCAGTATTCAGGATTCTAGTGGAACACCAAGCCTTTCTTAGGATGAGCTTTTAAGCACAAAAGCCATATTCTGGTTTGACATATTTTAGTTAACATGAACAGTTAGCTAGAAGCAAAACTACAGTACCCAAAAGCAAGATTAGAACATTTAGAAAATTTGCCAGATCTATGGACTTTAATCAATTAGGTCTTTGTTTTCATTTTGGTAGGTAGTACTGTCTATGTGTTGAGTTTTACAGCCTGAATAGTACTTCCATCATGGAGTCAGTTGTGCTAAGAACTGGGTCCTGACACATTCACCACTGGTCTTCGTGAATGATACAAATCTTGGACTCATGCTTTAAAAGGTTCCGTAGGTCCTAAGGACTATTAATTTTACTGAACTGATACATAATTGTCTATATAGTTTAAGATGCAGTGTCCTCACCGTTAATCAATTCAGAATGAGAATTAAGGGCCCAGTCAGTGCTCATAGCAGACTAGTAGACAGGGGGACCAAGAGAACAGAGACTGGTTTAATTATTATTTACATCTTTGCCTTACTCATTTTTTTTAAATAAGGTTTTCTCGAACCATGGCTAGATTTTTTTTCCTAATTATTATTGCTCAATTAACATAGAAACAACAGGTTCTCCCAAAAGTCATACATACTTTCCTATCTCAGGACGAGTTTGTCTAAGCCTCTCCCATTTTGCAGGACCATGTCTGCAAGGGCATCTCACTGCTGTTTTAATTCAGAAATGGAAACTTTTAACACCTCTAGGTCCTGATCAACTGGTCGACTTAGTTTTGTAAATATCGGGGCCTTCCTGTGGCATAGAGTCGGACTCACCAGGTTTCCCATTTTCCTTTGATTTTTAATTTCTTTTCAGGCAGCAGTCAGGAACCATCCTTCTTCGTGGGTTGCTCAATGCGCATGCGTCATAGCAAAGGTACAGCTGGCCTGTGAGTGAGAGGTCCCCCCCCCAGTGCCTTGTGGGAAAGAGATTCCTTTTGGTAATGGCTATGACCAGACAGATGACAGTTCCTTCAGCAAGTGTGGAAAAGAGAGACTTTTTTTTTGTTGTTACTGGACAAGAAAGCTCTTCTAAGAGCTGGGAGGCAGTGTTCATCTGAGCGCCCAGATCTTGAGGGCTCATGGCGCGAAGCAGGACCGGTTCGACTCCTGCATCTCTCTAGAGCGCTTCTGGAGCGGGAGGTAAACTCAGATCTCAAGGGGCAGCTGGGGAAACTCGATGTAACGGGGGCGGGGAGTGGGGGGTGGAGGTGGGGCAAAAATGGTAGGTGATGGTGGTCGGAAAGGTATCATAATTTTTATAACGGTTCCTCAGCTGAAATGGTTTCAGAAAATCCAAGTTTGACTAGTTCTTGAACTGGAGAAAAAGTTTAGTGGAAAGACACGTTGTCTTTATTGCTCGAGGAGGGTTTTGCTTTAGCCAATTCTAAAGATCCATAAGAAAAATAAGTTAAAAAAATGGCTTAGAAGCAACAACTCCCCAACAGTGTTTTAGTTCGTTTAGATGAAACACAGTATAATAACTGAGAGCACAAAATCAAAATGTTTCTCAGGTGTGTTTAAGAAGCTCATGGGTAAGGATGTTCATTCTTTGAGTTTCAGTTGTCAACAAAATAAGTAACATGTCATTCATAGTAATAATTAATAACTAATAATAATAATAATAATAATAATATATCCTAATAGAGTTTGGACATGATAGTGTGCATTGGTCAGGTACATTTTTTTTTTTTTTTTTTGGTTGTTGTTGTTTCGGTTTGGTTTTTTAGGGGGTTATTTTTTTTTTTTCCCAGACAAGGTTTCCCTGTGTAACAGCCCTGACTGTCCTGGAAGACCAGGGGGTGGCCTGAAATCAGAGATCCCCTTGCCCTTGCTTCCCGGGTTTAAAAGTGTGCAACACTATGCCTTTGGGAATAAAA